AAAGCTAAATGTATTGGATAAATAACAGAAACTAACCCTAGCCCTACATATTACAATGTTCACTATGTATTGGATTTAATTCAGTATGTCATTGCGCTACAGTTTGCAGTGAGGACTGTAGCCAGTCCAGCTGTTTCTGCCTGTTTCCAGCCTTGACACTAAGCTAACCAGCTGACTGGCTGTAGCTTTATGTTTACCGTTTAGACATGAGAGATTTTCAAATAAATCTTGGCAAGAATGAGCAAATAAGCACATTTCCCAAAATGTAAAACTTCTTTAAATGTCAGTTACACTTTTGTTTTAAAGGGCAGTTGTTATGTGTATCCTTTTAAAATTTAAAAAATGTGTGGCTACTATGAGATTTCATGAAATTTTGTATGAAAATGTACTTGTGTGATTACAGGTGCTGTGAGAAAAAGTCAACACCGATACTTATTAATTATTTTATTATTTTCTGTCTCATCCTTGTCCTAAGTTTATCATAGTCAGCCGGATCCGGTCCAGACCCAGACCAGATGGTTGGACCTGCACCCTGAGATGACCACCTGATGAAATCCTGCAGGCGCCCCAGATTTTTTTAGTGCTTTAAAACTTTACCATTTTACAGAGGCTCTGGCCAGGCAATATTATGTTAAACTTCACAAAAAAGGCTTTAAATGAGCATGTAAAAAAACATTGTGTTTATGTCTGTATTTTCTTGTCTAGTGCAGGATCAGGGGCCTGTACCATGATGGTAGTTGAACAAATTCAGAGTTACAGGATTAGTTTCGAGTTGACAAAACCAAACCACTCCAATCTGGCTTTGTTGGTACCATGATGCTGATTATCAACTTTCTTTGTCAGCTTAGGCTTTGATCCTGAGTTTGTGGAGCACCTGCACATGAATGTGTGACATCAGTGACAGACATCCAAGTCACATGCCTTGTAACACAAAGCAAGTGTGATAATTCACTTCTTGCTAGAGAGCCAGCAGGATTCAAAACTCTTTAAGAGATTAAAGAATATGAGGAATTTGAATGCATTTACACTGTCCTTGAAAAGTACTTGTCCATGAAAGAGGACAAATAAAAGACATAATCTTGCTTTATCAGTGCAGTCACAAGT